AAATGTGTGGTAGGTTTGGAGGAGAGATATCTACTTTCTATATTAAACATGGAAATATTCAAAAAAGATCAAAGAATGCGGCTCGATTGTTCGTTTCGTTGAAATCCACGCTTCGCGATTAAATAGAAGCACGATCCGTGCTTTAGATCGACGTCCAGCGATGCTTTCACGAACTAAACGTATTGTTTCAATTTTTCAGATGTTACTTTGTCCAAAATGATTACAGAGACATTTAAATATTTATTTTACATTTTCAACATGCCTGCGTTTATCATTAAAATGTATTTTATTTCGATAAAATTTAGCTTTTCACTTTATTTTTTCTTCTGTGCAATTTTCTACAATTTTATTAAGATTAATTTTACAAAAAATGAAAATTCGCTTTCGAAAATATTTGTCTCAATTATCTTTTTTATAATTATGAGGTAAAATTCGTGTCAATTTAAATAAATTCAAGAAATTTTTGAAAAAATTAATAAATTTAGGAATATTTAAATATAAAAGACACATCTTTTGCGTAAAATGTTTTTGATCGATTGAAAAAGCGCGAAATGAAAAAAACTTATATTAGAAAATATTATGTTTTTATGAAACAAACTTATGCCATTTAAAATATGAAAGACAGACACTTGATATTTGCACACGTTGTGTCGCGATTGCATCAAGCAGACACCGATAATCTCTATTTTTTTATGTCAAAAACGAAGATACTAATATCAGAGAAGCTTCCTCCATCCTTCCAAAATCCTTAACACACTCTCCTTCATGAACCACACACAGCGTATCCTTTTTCTAAGCACTTAATTAATGACTATAACTAATTTATGTATCATCTCGTGACAACGGTCTTCCATCGTTTTCGAATGATCGTTGCGAACGGATATGCGTAAAAAAAAGAGGATATACATATGCTTTTTTTGCTATTGACCAGAACCAAAAGCATCTTTCTAAATCGCGCTACTACCTGTTACAACTTCTTTTCGTCTTGTTCTAAAGGTATTTCTTGTGTCGTCAGAGTTACTACTATCTCTCTCTAAAAATCCCTTAATCTAAAATCACACTCAGAGTACGCAATTATGTATACCGTGCGCCCTTTCGATTTTCTGTGCATTTGTCAGTCATCCTCAAGTTGAGGACGCGAAACATGGTAAAATAAAACAAAATACTAAAGATAAAAAACGGTGCAATTTTGTTGAATTCGATATTCGAAAGTTTGAAATTTTCTAGTCACGTGGAAAGTATTTCTGTATTTATTATTACTGAAAAATTACCAAATAATTGTGTATACTAAAAATGCAATTGCAATATCTTTCATTGTTGTAATATTTATTTCTGATTTGCATGATTTTATTTGATTTTTCTTATTTATTTCATATTTCAACACTAAGTTTTTCTTTGCTATTTATTGATAATATTCGATAGTGTATATATTTGATATTTTTATGATCGTACTTTTGGATGTCTGACTTATTTATATGTTTTCTTTTGATATTTTATTATGTCTCGGCACTCTTATATCTCTAGAAGATATCGTTTTATTAGGAAATGAAATGAGAGTGAAAGCATTCGAACGATCCTTGACAATTGCATTTCAAGTGCGACTCGAATCAAATATTTGAAAATATTTGATAAAGTAGTTGTTTTAAAGAAAAAAAATTAAAGGAACTTGAATGTTTTAGAAAATATAAAGAAATTAAGTATGATTTCAGTTCTATTATAAACGATTAATTTTTCTAGATAGATTTTTTTATCGCATATTATTTGTCGGAAGGTGATTTGTTTCGAGATTCGCTCGAATCAGCTGGATTCGCGTGTCCAGTTTGAATCGCACGACGATGGCGCTTACAACGTAATCAGAAATAATACCGGAGGTACTTATCTATATAAAAACGCACAGCTCTCTTCCGTCTCTCGATCCTCCGTCTAGACCCTTCCTATCGAGGATTGAAACGGAACATAAAATAAGTTCAGGTTTTCACGACACAGTTCATCTTACGCGTTTAATTTTACCTTAAATTTTAATTTTAAGAAAACTATCAGCAGAATGTTAACATTTATTTATGTGTTTAGTATAGGAAATTAAAATATAAAAAATTACGCCAGGTTCAATCCTCATTTTCACTCGTTCTTTTCATTCTATTGTTCTATCCGCCTCTTCCTATCTTTAGCTATTTATCTCTCTTTTTTTTCTTTCGTTTTCCTGTATTGATATCGTCGCGCTCGCACGATACGTCGGCAGTGTGTTTATTGGAATAAATCGCGATAGAGAATCGCTTCAGGGAAACCCGCGTTCGCGAGGTAAACGAGGAGAAAATTATCGTGTCGCCGAGACGGACGAGAATCGTTTTCCCGACACGGAGATTCTCGAGATTCTCGAGATCGGCCGGCGACAAAGTCGTTGAATATCGATACATGATTCGCGCATACCTCTGCCTCTCCTCCTTCTCCTCCCTACGTGAAATCGCAAGTGTCCTGTCTTCTCGCAGGACACCCTTCTTTTCCTATTTCCTAACCTGAGATCCAAAGAGTCCCGCTATTCGAAAACCTCAAGCTTGAGACGAGAACGAGCGAACGCAGGATCAGGATAATCGTGAAAAAAACAGGACGCCAATTTTTTTTGTCTCGTCGAGACAGCGAGTCGTCGATAAAACGCGAAAAACGACGCTTTCCACGAGAAGGACTCTCAACTCGACGATCCTTTGGGAGTTCCTTGAGGGATTCCTCGAATTTGTCCCATTATTCCACCGACTTCGCAACCAATAGCATCATGAATTTCGAAATTACTCCGAAGATAATTCGCGTTTCTTTAGCTTCGCGAATGCAAATTTCCTCGAATGTTTCCCGAAAGTTTTCGGAGAGCAGTTCTTGAAAGTGTTCCTGATATACACGCTTCTTCTATGAATTTATCGTCTTAAAATCTTTCGCGCTTGCGACTCGCTGTCGCGGTTTTCCCGATCCCGCGTTTTCACTCGAGAACTTGCGTCCTTTTCTTCGCCTTATTCTTCATTTGAGGGAAAAAATGCTTCAGTCAGGGACTTACTAGTCTTTATTTCCAGCGAATGCTGGTCGAAATTATTCGTTAGCTTATTAATGCCGACGCATTGGGGAGAAAAAGTGCCGTCGGATGCACGATTTCGCCACCCGTTATATATTATCGTTCGCCGCAATTCATCTTGTTACAGTCCCATTAATAGTTCCAAATTCGTCGCTACTTTAGCGAGAAGAATCGATGATGACGGCGACGACTTCTTCGATTTTCTCTCTTCTTTTTTCTCTCGGTTCCTCTTCGTGGCAGATCTGTCGAGAATTTCGCGATCGAGTATCAACGCTCGCGATGATCGATTGGTTCGCACGAAGCTCGGTTCACACTTCGGTAAACGGTACATCTTGTGGCTCGTGTTTCCCCGGAAGAAGAAAAGTTCTCGAGTTTCCGCCAATCGGAAAGAGAATCGATCGCGCGACATCTTATCTCGACGAATACATCTTCTTGATAGGATATAAATCCTTGATCAATATCTCAAGCAATTCTATTCGAGGCGGGCTTCGCACTCCGCCTGACCTTCAGACATACTCGTAATATCTCTGTAACGATGAAGGATTAATGTTCGCTAAGGATTGAATGTTCTTGCGTGACATCCTCGAGAAATATCTCATCGAGAACGAGCGGATTTAGAGAACTGTCTTCTCGCTTCTCAAGATATCCTCGCTTAGTAATATTCTATCCGAGGATTCGATCGCGAAGCCAATAATTGTAGCATTGTTGAAGATGACGTTCTCGAGAGATATTCCTTCAAGAACAAATGTCTATTCGCAGCGACATGTCCTGTCGATTAAAAGCTATATTTTCAATCCTCGAAGCATTCTCGCGCAATTCCTGATCAAAGCCTATTCGATTCGGATCATTAATCTGATTACTAGAACGATATCGTCGAGGCATGTCCCTTTGAGGACGATTCGATTCGCAATATGACAATCTTAGGGAATTATCTCCCAATGTCAGAGGACCCTCGATTGTCAGGACGAGAAGGATTTCTCTCCTCTTTTTCCCGGCACTTTCCTCCCACGCGTGCGCATATTCGATTATAAATGCCAGCTGACCTCGCGCGCGATCTGTACACGTGTGTAACATCTAAGAAAAAAAAGGACTGGCCCGTCTTTTGGACGCTCGTGTTTACTAATCGCTATTAACTATTACTCCCCCTCCGACTTTTCGCCCTCCTACTCTCACCCTCATACTCATGATTCCGCTCCTCGAAAATCCTCCCTTCCTCCTACTGCTCCTTCTCAGAATTAAAATTGGCTACTTCGTGTTTTAAATTGGCTAATGTATGTGTATGTGTATGAATGTATGTTGCGTATGTGTGTACACGTGTCTCTCTCCCCTCGATACCATGTGTATACAACGTATATGTATAATATATTGCTATATATACACGCAGGATGCGGTAAAATGCACAGAGAAACGACGAGATAATATTCTTGTGGAATTTCAAATGGACTTTCTCAAAAAGAAAGATGTTTGACAAATATTTTTGTTCTTTTTCTTAATTATTTCTCGACATTGGTCAGTAAAATTTTTCGAATTGTCTTTCAATGAGGATACTGAAATTTTATCATTCATCAAGACTCGATAATTAATTATTATCACGAGCATAAGAGTATGTTTTTCGAATTCAATAGAAATTTTTGTAATTTAGTAAAAGTCTTATCAAGCTAAATCGAATCTCGAAATTGAAATATTATTAAACAGAAGTTTATCATTTATTTCTACTTTCATTGCTAAATAATATTTCATTAATTATATTCCACAAAAAACCGAAAAAAGAGTTTCGTTATTATTACGTATTTAAATGTCTAAAAAAAAGTAAATAATCTTTTCTCGAAGCGTATTTTCCTAAGAAAAAATTTAAAAAATGTGCAATTTAACTTTTGAGAAATACAAGAAAGAAATGAAGATAATTAGTTCTTTTCTCGTAGAATTCTTTCGAAAAAATTGAGAATTTATTTAATTAAAATACTTCTCCTAACACTTCTAAAATTATTAAGTTCTCGGACGAAAAATTCCACACACTTTAAGAATAAAATCAAATAATTTCCAAGTTGCTTGGAAAAAAAATATATTCTCGAGATAAATCACAAATTTCCATGGCCCGAAATTTCTCTGGCATTTTTCTACGCATCGCTATGCGATATCTCGCGCATGTATATGTATCGGCTAGTCGAAAATTGAGGCTACAATGTGCGGCAGTCTATTGTCTCTCTTGGCTCTTCTCTCCGCAGCTTCCAGTCCCCCCCTCTTCCCTCTTCCTCTTCTTCTTTCTTCCTGTTATCGGCGACTTACTATCTTCCGGTCGGAAGATCGTCCTTTCTTCTCGGAGCGCGACGCCAAGTCGTCACCCTCGGGTCCAATGGTCTCTATCTTGGGGACCGGGGAACGGGGAAGACTTTTTATTCCCACTGGTGTGGAGAGGGTGGCAATTCCGAGGGGTGAGCCACCGTGGAGCTGCAAGTCGTACGAACGAGTCATTAGAGAGGGACGACGAAAGGCAAAAATAAGCCGAGGAGACTGGAGAAGGGGAGAGGGAGGGAGAGAACGTGCGATTCTCTTTTGGTAACGCGAATCGACCGCCCCGCTTAATTGCCAACAGTATAATTTGTCGAGAGTCAAAATATCCCCGACGAAACGCTCTCTTTCCCTCTCTTGTTTATCTTAAATATAATAATGTTTTACTTGAACTTTGAAGCTTATTAAATGAGAATGATTCGATTACTGTGGGGAAGTTTGGACGGTCGATTGCGAGGCGAGGAAGGATGAGTACAACTACGTGCGAATCATCGAGCTAATTATTTGCGACTGGAATTAATTGATGTTTAACTTTGAGAAGGGATTTAATTCTTAAATTGAGAGAATTTGTGAAATTAAGAGAGAATCTTGAAAGTTTTATTTGTGTATTAACTAGCAAGTATATAAGCTTAAAATGATATTTATATTCTTATAATTTAATTAATTGTATGGAATATTAAGAAGTTATCTTGAAATTAATTGGGAATAATTTAGAATTTAATTTCGAATTAAATGTACTCGCTCGACCATTCGCGTTTTCTAATGATCGAAAACAAAAACAAAGTACGAAATGCCACAAAAATAATTTACATATAATAATTATCATTCGCACTTTGATTTATTATCGATCGACTAAGTCACATGAACCGAAATCGTCAACGAGTAGCAGCGTGATATATTTCTTTTCTCTTTTTATTCAAAATTATTAAATAACATCAATTTATTTATTCTTCTTTACAACTAAAAAATATCAAGAGAAGCGACATATATAAAACAAAGAGAAATTTATCTTCTCATTATAATATTTGCATCTTTCAAAGCCGAAAAATGTACAATTGCTAGAATCTCTGTTTTGCTCATTTTCGATTGTATATTACTATATTTTCTATCTAGAAAATTAATAGAAAATTGTCAAACAGCCAACAATTGTCAACAGATTGTCAACAGATATCGATAATTATCGGACAGAAGCGCACAGTACTCGCTGACGATCCGAAGGATCAATAGATCTCTATTTTTAGCAAAATAACAAAAGCATTTGTCTGATTTCCATGCAGCTGTCAGCATGTGTGACAGCCGATCGTTTCTCTCTCTCTCTCTCTCCCTCTTTCTCCTTAAACACATTTTTGTTTCCAATATAAATCTGCTTCCGTTATTTTTTCTCTTTATCTATCTATCTCGTTCGGGCTATTTGCGCGCGTATATCGAAGTTAATATTGGCCTGATATCGGGTGGATATTATCTATGGGAGATGCTTTCTCTATGGGGTTGAATCATTGGGCGAGTTATAATACGTGGATCCTAGGAAAGGCTTAAGGATCGGGAAGAATCTATTTCTCGATCTATGCAAATTTTCGCAAAAGATAGTTTGCATTTCTTTTGTCACTTCTTGGCGCGTCGCGACGTGTGCTCGTTTCTTCTCATCTCGACAATTTCTTTCAACTGAAGGCTGCATGGTGGATCAGGCCTTCTTTTACACTCATAATGCCAACAATAAAACAATGCGCTCCGTTCAGGTGGTTTTCCCTGTTTTCTTTCACGCACGAATAGCATGTTCACAAAATGACAAGTCGAATTGTGACGGCGAGTTGTGTTGAAACGTATGAAACCGGGGTGACAACTTACAAATTGCTGTATATTTAATTTATTAATTTATAAATTGTAGCAAATTTTTTTCTTTTTAATTGAGATTTAATGTAACATAAGATATCAGAGTTTCCTTCTGAAAATCTGATATAGTTAATTCCAAATTTTGTTCTTTCTTAATTAATCTCAATTTAAGTTTTACAACCTTCAGATATTTTCTTTATTATTATTATTATTGTTATTATTATTTTATTGTTATTATTATTGTGGTATTATTTAATGTAAATAATAATGCATTTGACTGAAGAATATATATTTTTTCTCTCATTAGTTTTTTGAATCTACTTGGTAGATTTTAAAATCAAAGTTTGAAAACTAATAAAACTGATATAATAACTTTTATAAAAATATTTAATTGTTATTAAATATTTTAATTTTATAAGAAATTATTTACCAATAATTAATATTAGTTTCCCGGAAAATAAACCTTTGGTTTTTCCTTCACAAATATCTTGATATCAGAATTATGTTCGCTACAACGTTTTTCAATGTCTGCGTATATGTACTTGTGCGCGTATACGTATAGTAACAAACTTTCATAATTTTCTACGGGGTGAGAGGATTTAAAAGACGGAGTAAGTTGTTATCGCCGGATGTTCCTCGAAGATTGTAATTGTTTCCTTTTTAATTAGACTCCTTTGGATTCGCTAAAGTGGCCGTAAAAGTGGGCCAGCAGCAACGCGATTTCTCGCTTCAGCAACGTTCTCGCTCGGTTGAAAGAAAGGGAGGAGGCGGGCAAGAAGGGTGGGAAAGAGACGGAAATACTCATCGGACGGAGAAACGGTATCCTGTCAAATAGCACCAGGTATATTATCGTTCCTCGGGTGTTTAAGGAACCTGTTAATGACGCATACGCAAAACTACCGCTAATTAGCATCGTTGCACACGTCTCTTACGTCATCGTTTAAACCACGTCGCCTAAATCCGCGAAAATGGATGTTAAATTGTCCTAACTTTCGCGCTTTTTCCCTGAAATTTGTTCCTAAAATATTAAGATTCATTTTGAGATGTTAATTTATTTTGTGCTTGCTTCGCGTAAAATGAAACATTTCAACAACTTGAAGAGCGATCCTCAATTTAATCTGATTAAAGTTGTATCGCATATTTTGTAGGAGAATTTTTTCACGCGGTTTTTAATGTTAGTTTAAAAAAATAATTTAAAATAATTATGAGATTTTTTTTACGAATCTTCGAGGAATTTTTCTCTCTTTTCCTTTTCCACCCAACTATGAATATGTAATATCTAGTATAAATAAATATCTAGTCTACTATATATTTGTGTGCGATATTAAATTCATCCATATTTATTTAGAAGAAAGTGTCACCCCGTTCAAACGCGATCAACTCGCCTCGAAATACGCGAAATATAGCCGTTTCGATTCGGAGATGCGACGACATATAGGATATTTCGGAATCACCAAACATTCATTTCAACTTGCGAATATATTCAAGTAAATATTTACACTTTAATTTCACGTTGATAAATCGAGCTTTTTTTAGAAATATCGAAGGGTTCAGCGATTCCGAAGATATCGGTCGCACAGAGCGTTCGACAGAACGCAAGAGGCACGGCGTACGTATTTTGTACATCATGAGGGTAAACAAAGGGCGGTTTGAGAAGCCAAGGTCTTGTAACACAAAACAAAAGGCAATATACTTGGTATTATAAAAAATAGGATCATGTACCTCTGCGAGCGAGGTCGCGTCGACTTATAGCTGACTCTCGTTTCGTTCGGTTCGTTCAGGAGGAGGCGTAACACGATTGGTAGTAGTAGTGGTAGCGGTAGTAGTAGTAGACGATAGTAGTCGATAGTAGCTGACAGTGGTAGATAGCTGAGTCGGTAGTGGTAGTAGTAGTAGTAGTAATAGTAGTAGTAGTTGTAGTAATAGTAGTGGTAATAGTAGTAGTTGTAATAGTAATAGTAGTAGTAGTAGTAGCTGTTGTTGTTGTTGTTGTTGTAACGTGTATGTATTCGCGACGCAGGGCGCTGGTTCGGCGATCGGCTTGCTCTAACTTGACGGCAGAGTAAGCAAAACGAATAATTGTTACACATCCAACAGCAGTGTTGCGAGTAACACTACTCAACAAGACACTTGTAGAAGTTACGACATGAATCGTGCATCAGATCCGATTTCGATTTTGAAATCTTTCCATTCCAAGAATCCGCGAGTAATAATAAGAGAAAGATAATAGGAACGAATTCTAACCCACTTTGTAAAACTAATTAATAATCACGTCTAGATTTCACGTCTAGATTAGAATTTTATAGTATGAAGTTTTAACAGGTTGATAACTTTAGATGGAAAGATACTGGAGTAAACATTTTCGTAGTTTCATATATTTTAATGAAATTTTCTGGAATATATATATAACACATTTTATTTCACATTCAAGTTCCATTAAACATGTCACCGTTAGATATTCATAAATAATAAAGTGACAAAAATCTAGACGCTACTTTTCTTATAATTTTATTAAAATATCAGAATTCATACAATAAGATCTTTCATTTTTTTATTATACTTCTACAAAAGAAAAGTTAAATTTTGTTGAGTAGCGTAATCTGGGGGAAAATATTAGATTTGTCATTATACATATATTGAAAATATTTTGTCTCAATATCGCAGAGAGAGAAAACTAGAACAATACCCTAAAGAATCAAGCAAGCTTTAATAACGAAATGATTTTAACGAAACTCAATATTAACTAAAAAAAATATTCAAATATTTAATAGTACAATAACAACTAAAAAGTTGATATTTTCAATTTTCCTAAATTAATATTCACACACATACATACTCCCAAAATGTTTATTCTAATAATATATACATCATTTTTTATCTTCTTCTAATAATACATCATTTCCTTTTATCCACAATAATATCATCTTCATTGTATTTCCGTCATGAATTATGTATAGATTACATTATCTTGAATCTATTATATCATAAAATATTATCCGTCACTATATGTATAAATAAATTGATTGCGGTAATTGATAATTTCGTTAGTATTATGTATTTTCATTATTCTAAATAATAATAATATGCAATTTTCCAATCCATCAGAAATGTGATTTATAATTATAATTGTAAACATGCGAAATAATTGATATGATTAAAATGATTTTCTTATTTGCAAAGATCAATCAATAGAATGTGTTTTCGGAAAAATACTAATTATTGTGATTGAAAAAAAAATATATTAAAATATATTAAATATATTAAAATATATTAAATTATATAGAAAAAATATTTAAATTTAAAGTTACATGCATATAAATTAAAAAAAGAAACTGAATGAAAAGAGAAAATATCCGATTAAAATTGAGAAAAAGGATAAATTTTGAATGTACCAAACAATACACATGTGAAAAAAAATATGGAAAATTTGAAACACTCTATAATATTTGACTATTTTTATATATTACTTTAGAATATTATTCTGATCTCCTCTTTTCGGTGATATTGATAGTTATCAGATCCTTATCTACTTGATCTCTGCTCTTTTGCTACAATCGAGAGATCGTATATAATTATTGTGTCACAGTGGGCCGACAGGGTTACGTGAAACACATTATATGCTTTACTCTTCCTTAGAACAATGTCGAAAGATACGGAGCGTACCTTTGAGGACGTTAGCAAGAGGATCGCCAGGACGAAAGGCCCCTCTTTTTTTTCTATCGACTCGACTTTCGAATCCCGTACGATCGATTTTGAAATTTACTTTCTCTTTCCGTTACGCGTCGAAAGACTCAGCTGGCTCTAGTCAGCGCTACTCTTCGAACACCCGATATATCCGCTCGCTTTACTCGACTGCTTCGACTTGATAAGAAACACTGTGCGCCCCTCTATGAACTCTCTTGGGGATTATTAGCCTGTCTTTTTGATCGGGAATTCAGGATCACGACGCGGGAGATGCACGGATGCGAAGGAGAGGAGATATTGATTAATCTCGAGGGGAAGTGAAGGGATGGAGGGGGAAATATTTTTTCTTTCTTTTTTTTTTTAATTCTACTAGGGTTCGTTTTTCATCATTGGCTCTGGTAACTTTTCTGTATGCGACTGGGGGACTTTTATGAGTCGGGTCATATGTTATATACTGAATGTTCCAAAACTAGATAGCATGCTATAAATTCAATCAATATATTGATAAAATAAAATTATATGTACTTTTCTAAATATCCTTATAATATATTAATATGAAAGGCACATTTTAGAGTGCAAAATGATATGAAAACTAAGACTTCGTCAAGTTGCACTTGTTATAAGCTCGATTTTAAGAAATCTCTCTTCTCGACTTGAGAATTTTAAAAAATGCTTAATAACAATGCTTTTTAACAAGCTGTTTTTTTTTTAATTTTGCTTATTCCAGTAGTTTTGGAGCACCGTGTATAGCGATCGGTCAAGGGCGATTCGCGTAGATTTGCAATGTCGCTTACCTTGCGAAGCTCTTGAAAGCCGCGGATTGCGGATTTATGCAGAGCGGCACTCGCGTTGTGTTGAGCTGCTCCGCTATAAATTTGTGCATCTCCTCTGAAACAGGCAATAACGTATCGGTAATATGAGAGAATGACGGAGGCGGAATGACGGCGCGATACAGTTTCCCGTGGCCGAGCTAGTGACGCCGTAAACAACGCCATGGTTCACGTCCTGATCGCGCGGTCAGCGCTAAATACGGCTAAATGGTTCTTATCTCCCCCGTCGTATCTTTAGAATTTTATTATTACAACGGCTTACACCACAATCATTCTTTAAAAAGGAAAAATTACAAGCATTTTTCATCGTGAAAATTTGCGAGCATTTTTCCATGAAAAAGCTTCTTGAAAATTCTCCTCCAAATTTTGCGCGAAGTTTTCACATATTTTACGTAATTTCCGCTCGCTTACACATTTACCGTAAATAATTAAACTGATAAATTCAATTTTAATCGCGGAATCTTGATTTAAAATTTTAATATAACTCGTATCTAATAAAGATGAATTAGGAGATAATGAACAAAAATGAGCAGTATTTTTAACGTTACTTATCGATTCACCGTTCTTCGTTAACGTTTATAGCACGAGAACCTCACGATTCTCAGCCACTGCTGAGATAAACTATGATTTATCGTGACACGCACACACGCAAGCGTGTTTATCGCGGTTATTGTTCTCGAATAGCAGCCACGTGCCTAAGATACTTACTGTGTACGTCATTATCCTTTGATACGCGAGACATTCTTGCGACAATATATCGAGATTCATGCCGCAATTTGTATCGCAAAAACAAGCTTTCAATTATACTTTACGTAAAGCTTGATGTGCAAAGAGAAAAACCGATGTAAAGAGAAACGTTAAATTACAGAGAGAACAAAAAGTAATCTTCTATTTTTACACAATATTCTAAATGTCACAAATGTAAATTTATATAATCTTGTAAATTAATTCTTTTATTAGAAATAAATTAAAGTTATTTATTATTAATATAATATTATTTATTAGAAATATATAAAAAAAGACAATTTTAGTATTATATTTTATATCTATTACGAAACTTTTATTATCGTTAAATAATATTTTTATAAATAAATTATAAATCTGCATCTGTTTCTTTCTTTATCATGAAAAAATTATTTTGAATAAAATGTAATTATATTCAGAAAAAAATATAGCACTCGCGATTTTTTTCTCTTTTATATCAAATCTTCGATGCCGCGAATTTTCTCACCTTTCACTTGCTGCACGCTCGTAAGCTTTCGCTCCCAGAGATCGTCAAACGGATGAGCGGCCGAAGGCTCGAAATCCACCCTGTACTGTCTCATTCCTGCGCTTGTCGTGTAGCAGCATGTGCACATGCACGAATGATACCGCAACCGTCCCTCGTCCAGGTAAGGATGCGCCAGGGCGTTCACCACGGTGATCCTCTTATCCTGTGCAATAATAGGATAGAAAACAGAATCCATAAATATTCGTAAAGTGAAAAACGTACACAGAAAAAAAGGACATTCTTCTTTTAAAAATATATTTAGTTTTAACATGGAAATCTTGAAATGAGATTATATTGCGTTAATTAAAGAAAAATATAATTGTTTGAATAATTGCTTACTTGAATAAAGCCATTTTATATAGTTCAATCGAGCAAAATATATTCTTATGATTTAAGATTTAATTTTCTTGAATGGAAAAGAAACAATGTTAGATGGAAAATAACATTTTTAAATCAAAGATTATAATTTTCTTAAAGTAGAATTAAATAATTATATATTCGTAAGGTGACAATTACAATATTAAAATAAGATTGTAATATTGTTGAAATTTAAAATTATTAAATTCTTCTAAGAAGATTATAAATTGTTGCGTATATACGAAACAATGAACGCGTTAGTTTAAATATATAAGTTTTGATTTGACACTTATTTTTTTTCTATGTAGCGTCAAATTTTCAAGCCGGTAAAGCAAAACGAATTTCTATTAAATCAAGAGAAAAATGTGGAGTAGAAATGTATGTTTCGATTATTTGCACGTGTATTTTGATTATTATCAATCCAAATAAATACAGCGAAATTAATAACTGAAATTAACAATCAAAACGAGTGAAAATCGAGACTGTGCTAATTATTGTTAATTAAAGTGGTAGATGAATTTCACAGAGAAAGATAATAGTGTGTGTAAATAAAGAAACGTAATAGGATCGATAAATGTGACATTTTCATCGATTAATTAAATTAAATTAGAATGTCTGCATGAGAAAGTTTCAAAAGAAAGTTGCTTAATTTATAAATTCCTTTAAAGTCCTCTATATTCGGTAACTATTTTTTTAAAAAACTTAAATTGAGATGTTACATTCTAATTAAAGATATGCAAGTCTCTTTAAAATTTTTCAAAAAAAACTTCCATGCAGAAAAATCAATATATAATAAAATATAATAAATACATATCGAATCTCCAAGAAATCTCTCTCATTGAAATAGTGATATAAGAATCACTTGAGATTTTTATTTATTAAATAAATGTATAAAACACACAAATAAAAATTCAATTTATTTGAAAAAACGGATGCTATTTTTAACTTACGGGATCGAAGACTAGCATCTGGCAAAGCAAATGGACGGCCTCGTGTGTCGCCTGGCTGCTGAGATTATACAAAGTCGCGAGCGATGGCGGCTTGTGCGCCCTTCTCATCATGTGAGACTTCGCACCCTCGCATGCATACCTCATCTCCTCAAGAGTAGGCGAGCCCAGCAGTTCCGTAATTAACTCGAGCTGCAACCAGAAAGAGAGACACGCATTTTTATTTCAACTTCCTTCGAGAATTACATCTTACAAAATGTATTCAATCACTATGATGGAGACAGGCATCATCCTTAGATGATCACAGGTAGCCATAGATAGTCAGAAATGGAGGAGTTCAATCAGTATAAGCGAAATATGAGTGTTCTCCATTAAATTAATTAATTAATTAATTAAAAAAATAAAAATAAAATATTGAATTATTTTGGGGCCCATCGCCTTCACCTGTTGCACGGGGCTTTGGGCCTGGAAGAGGATCCGCCGACGTAGCAGCTCGCCGAAGATGCAGCCGACACTCCAAACGTCCACCGCCGCGGTGTAGTGTCGCGCGCCCATCAAGATTTCCGGTGCGCGATAATACTGCGTCACGACTTCCTGGGTCATGTGCACGTTCTGGTCAGGCTCCGCCACCCGCGCCAATCCGAAATCACAGATCTGCGAAAAGAGAACATATCCCTCGTTGTGTTTTTGACCGCTAGATAAATATAATATAAATATAATATAAATAAATATAGTATAAATATAATAGACACAGCTGGCAAGAGTGGATGAACTTTAGAGTAGAAAGATATTCTTATTGTTCAATTGAATCTACAGGTACACTGAGAAAAATGAGAGAAATGTCCGATGAAAAGGTAACGAGCGGATATTATACCGACCACTTTAATCGGATATCTCGGATCGGAAAATTTTGAACTTTCTGATCAGATATCCGATCGATATCGATCGATATTTTCTGACTGGATATCTGATCTTTTTTTCCGATTAAAGTGATCGGTATAATATCCGTTCGTTACCTTTTCACCGGTTTTTTTTCTCAGTATAAATCAGACTGATGTTTAGATTGGGACTCACTTTTAGTACACAATTGCTGTTCACTAGGAGATTCCCGGGCTTGATATCCCTGTGAAGGATCTGGGCCGAGTGAAGATACTTGAGGCCTGAAAGCAACAACATGTCGCACAAATTATAAGCTTATCTTGATTAATTGCTGCGAGAAGAAACTTAAAATATCAATGTTTCTCATCATCGATCAAAAAATATGCAAAGGGATGAAAGTGATTGAAGAAACCTTCAATCGCTTTCACGAGTAACAATAATTGCAAGTTTCCAAGAACCTCATGAGAACAGTCATCAGAATTAAATTAACGATTGGCTGGACGCGTTTAATGAAAGCAGCGACAGCATCGTAAAACATCGATAGGAATTAAACGAGAGCGTGGAGCTTTATCGATCGTGAAAGTTGACGCGATCGTCGACGTCTCGCTCGTACGAGGCTGGGAAAACGATATTGATGGAAGAATTTTTCACGCCGAGCACGACGAGTTGACAAAACATCGGAATTGTAACGTGACATATAGTTCGCGTCGATGCAAACTCAATTTTCGCGCCGATGAAAATTCGGGTCACTTTGGAACGAAGATTATGTTGGGCTTAATCAAAAATAGGTTATTGTTTCATCGACAACGTTCGCCGATTAAATTTCGGGCGGTTTTCGCGCAAATGCGACACTGATAACTGAATGTGCTCACTTTGCCAAAGTAATTACGTTGCATAAAAGTGTTTATAATCACGTTCTTAAATTGTAATCGCACTTGAGATATTAAATATGGTTTTTCATATTCAGCATTCTTTATGGAATATGTGTAATATAACATAATTAAAAATATTTCGATGTTTTGCCACCATAATTATTAAAATTATTAAATTATTAAATTAATTATTAAATTTCATTCATCTCGAAAATATATTTCGAAATATGAATTTAGAGAAATTACGAAAGAGAAAATTTATAAGATGAGAAACTAAAGAAAAGTGTCCTTTTGACATTATAAATTGCAATTTTACAATATCGTAAATTAATCGCGATTATTTTCATATTATTACAATGTTAACTATAATAATCGAATTAAAATATGACACGTTTCTCACTTCTTCATTTTTATAATAAATTTCACACATAAGCTTCACACTTAACTAACATACAAACATATAAATAATATAGTGATAAATTTCACGATCGATTAAATATACACATTGCACTTATAATTTAAAAATCGAAAATTATTATAGAAAAGCAGGTTCTTCACTTGTTCAAATTAATTATAATATGTAAAAATTTAACAGAAATTAATAAATTATTTGACGAAGGGAAAGGTCGAGACGGTGATAAACTGTAATCAATCGAATACTATAAAATAGTTCGGTCACAATTCCAATTCGATCACACATCTTCGTTCGTTCTATAAATAAACGAATGACGCACGTGACGCCTTATTTAATAATCACTAACGGTCAACATATAGGGCATTCGATATAGCGTGCATGGAATTAATTTCTCGGATTAATTCATCATTAATAGCAATTGGCATAACTTATAGAGATTACATGAGAGCTCTTCGCCTCATTTCGAGCGGGTGATTTCTCTGCCGCACGCGGAGGGTGAGAAATGACAGGTTGAGCGGCAACATAAACGAGATTCCTTTCGTGTTTCACGATCCATCCCTGTCAACGAATCGATTTCCACCCTTTATTTGCGTGAAAATGCCATGTATTTTACGAAACTCATCGACAAACTAAGTTCGTTAAACCTGAAGTGTCATCAGTTCTCCTCTAATTTTTTTGTGATGTTTGTTAAAATTTTAAAAAATTATCAAGAGATAGAATATAATAACAGATTCTAGCGAAAGATTAATTATTATGAAACTACTGCAGACAAAATAGTTAAAATAAAAATGAAACGATTTACCAAACTGGCTGTGTGGTTTATATATTTGCTCATTTTCAGATAAATAATATAATCTAATGACACTTATATAATTTATTACGCATACACGCGTCTCTCTGAAACACATAATTGTCCCTCGAATCACGATCCTCAAGATGAGTCACGTCGTGTGCACGTTCGGGCCCCAGTCTTTCCGGCAATAAAACTCAGTTATACCGGATAATCCGTCGTTCCGAGGGTGGTTTGAGCCCGGGATGTTCCGAATCCACCCTGTTGTAATTAAAGTTTCTCGTCCGGGTCTGCTATATCGAACGCCGTTCTTATTATCGTGTCCGTTCGCACGCGATTAACTCGCATCCCGAAGGCTCTCTCGCCGAACCCGAGTCTTTGCGCACGTTTGTTCAAATAGTGTGAACAGTTCGTTTAACCATCGCGGGTTTTAATCAATATTAAATTGTTCCAAGTAAATTCGTGTTACTTTTTACAACAAAAATATTTCGTGCCCAAGAAAAAAGTAGATTTAAAAAAAAAATGAAAATACACGCGAATACTAAATATGTTAATTTTAAAAATAATGAATAAAGGATATATTAAAATATCCTCCTGAATAAAAAATTAATAATTTTGTTTAGAATTAATAATTTCTAAAAAAAAAATTATTGATAATTGAGGAGCTTTGACGAATTGAATTAAAAGATAAATTTCACTTCGTTTTCTGTTAGTCTCACTAAAAATTGTAATCTGTAAGATTTAAAAACAAAGATTTAAAAACATAAGTGTTAAAGTATTATAAATAGCCTAGTATTTTTATCGATATCTGTCATGTGTTGTGCAATCAACTGTGTCATCAATAAAATCTGGCGAGATTTTAACAATGTCAAATAAAACGCGAATTCGGTTTATGCCGGACGATTAATTAGCCGTACACGCGGCTGTTAATTAAAGTAATTATTAGTGGGTTACTTATGAATATTCCGATTATTTAATGTCCTTTATCGCTGAAATTAGTCCTGTGTTCGCCTCGCAAATTTATGCGTGCATTATTTCGTTGCATCGATAAGTATAAGAGAATTTTCTTTCTTTCTTTTTCTAAATTAGCGTTAAAAGGAAGCGATAAAAAAGTCAATTAATGTTGATCAGTTGCTGAGTTTTCCGGCGAGAACTTACAATTATTTTCATTTGACTTTGCGTGTAATCGGCCTCTCTTTCTCTCTTCTTTCTATTTAAATCGAATTAATTTAATCGCATGTCGGGCTAATTAAGCGAAGGATGAACGAGGCAAAAAAGAGGCCAATATTGAGAAAATGAATGGAGTTTCATTCCGTAAAAAAGAAACCAGGCCGATCGATCGACAAGACGATCCTTGTCTGAAGAATCATTATTATTATTTATTATATGTAACGGAAAAACAGCATGAAAAATCGGCCTGAGCAGATTATTTTTATCTAAGCTGCCGACGACCTTGAAGTCGATAGTCGAAGCGAGACCAGGGTTCGTCGAAGGGAGACCTTGACTTTCGCGGTAATTGAAGACCATCGACCTCTCTCGACGGCCGGATAGAAGAAGAAATAAGAAATTGGCCGGCCGACCAAGAATGCCATAGTTTTAGTACAATGAACCCAATAATGACAGTGTTCTGCTGACGCGAAATTACTCTGGCTATTTAGTGACCCTTCCGTATTCTTGAGTACTCAAAAAATTATCGTACATTGTTATTTCGCTCCGATTATTTTATCGCAAATATGCGAATAAGTTATTTAAATTTCACATATTAAATTAAATTTAATATGAAAATTATTTATGGATTATTTATTTTTCTTTATTCAGTAAATATAAATAAATAAATAAAAATTTAAATAATAAATTTAATTATAAAAATAAATATAAATATATATAAATTAACGTAAATATAAAATATAAATAAATAAAAAATATAAATAAATTAAAATAAATATAATTTAAAAATATATTCGAGTGTATGCGTAAATAAAAAAATTAATATGTATAATTTGCAAGTGAAGAAAGACGATTAATTATAAATAATTATTTAATTACACATGTATAATTTGTATACAATTCTTATTGAAGTTCTGTTATTTAAACATTCTGTTACTTAAACATTGTTGTATTCCGATTGCGAGCATTCGAATATCATACTGCGTCGGCGGTATTTGCGTTATAGTTGTCGTACAAGCGCGATGCTAGGTTAATTTTGACACTCGCGTCACATCATCGCGTCGCCGTAAACAAGAAACTTTGCATCCCACGAACTTATTTTGGGCGAGGCCGATAACCGCGCGCAACCACCTGAGATTGTTTTAGCAGCCAAGTCTTCTGTTTGAATCGGGATCTATTTATTAAACTCGTGTAAACTCGAACTTTATGATGAAGCAAATTTGGAAATCAATCACGGTGATTGTTAGACAGAAAGCTGCGATAATCGGTGACATTGCTCTTCAAGTTAACGGGCATTTAATCGGCCGACGCCTCATGTTAATCACTCCACATTAATCACTCGATGTTAATCCCCGCCGACCAATTTATCTCGCGTATCGCGGATACGTGAGACAGAAAAGAATTTGCATAATGCATGCCGTTGCAGCCGCAGCTTCCTGCAACGCGAATCGGAGTTCGCAAAGTGTACCTTAAATGTCACATTAAATGGCTGTCGAGCCGTAACAACGTAATACAATGCCGCCGTTAATGTTACAGGAGCGACGTTATACCGTGATTGCGAGCTTTCACGTTTCCGTCGAAATTTTACTCACCTCTGTAAAATTTCCTCGCTCGTGTACCCCTCCCTTCCCCCTTCCACTTCCACATATACTTTCCGAAACCTTTACACATAGTGTCTATTGAATTAAGAAAAAAAATAAAATTATGAATTTTAAAAAATTATTATTAAAATTATTATTAATTATTATTATATTTTTTAAAATTATTATTATTATTAATTATTATTAATAATAAATTTGGATTACAAATCCAAATTTATTTATTTTATCCAAATTTAGTTATTTTCAAGATAAGTTATTTTCATTATCCAAATTTAGTTATTTTCAAGAATTAAAAGAAAAGAATTTGTAAAGAGGAAATATCATCTTTGTTGAAGTAACATCTCGAACTTTTGCGAATTTTATCGAGAGCAACAAGATGGTTTCCAAGTCTCTTTTCTCTACGCAATTATGTATTCTCGTCTCTGCCAGCAGCGGC